GGCGGCGGCGGTGGTGGCGGTGGCGCTGGCGGTGGCGGCTGCGGCGGTGGTGGTGGTGTCCGTGTCTTGTCGTTGCCGCACGTGTGTCCAGCTGCTGAAACATCAGCCAATGGAAGCGGGAGGACCAGAGCGTTCTTTGCATCTGGTCCTCCTTGCACACCTGCTTCTTTGGCAAGAGTGAGACCACGGTTGTTTCTCCAAAGAGGCCCGTAAGTGTTCTTACGACCTAAGACGATCTGCTTGCAGAGGTTTTGCCCTCAATGACCATCCTGTCGGATATGATTCTGGATGCATCCTAGCGAAGCGCCAGAAAAGCTGTGCAGCAGCTGCCGCATGTCTCCGCTGCTCGTAGCCTGCAGCTGTAGAGCCCACAGGACAACATGATGACAACAAATCAACCTGGAAACGAACTCCAGAACTTATAGACTGTGGGTTGAACATCCAAGGTTGCAGAGCCAAAGCTAGCTTCAAAAATGTAGAATTTGGAAAAAGTGGACTGTTTGGTCTTTCTTGTCTACTGTTTTTGTGAATGGGCGAGGGACTGCTTGTCTCGACGCTCAGATTCAGGTGGAGGTTCGCCTTGTAAAAATGCACCTGCATCCTGCTGCGTGCACCCGAAGAAAACAGACCTCAGAAATTCAACTCTTCTTTGGATGCACAGCAGTCACGGACGGCATGGCAGCACTGATTTGTGCAGGCAGCTCAACACGGTCTTCTTCGGAGGCGTGCGTGTTCTTGGAATAATTGTGGGGGTCGCCATCAACGTACTTCTCCCAGGTTTCCAATGCTGAGGGCATGCTCCGAAGTGCCCGCAACATGGGCTTTCCGTGACCTTCCATGTTGCAAGTAAGTCCACCAAGGCACACGTTGATGGATTTTCACGTATGTGCTCAAAATCTTGGCCATGCGAGATCGATGCAAGTTGATTTTAGGTTAGCATGCCTGCAATCATCGCGCGAAAGTATGTTGCCACTCGCCGCCGCAACGAATGAGGCCTCTGCACTTTCCTGTAGATGCTCACAAAGATTCAGTACAACAGCACTGCATTCCAAAGCTTGATTACGTCTTTTGCACATCCTTTTCCACCTTTCTGTCTAGGACACCCCGATGCATGCATGAACTCTAAGGATCCAAGATAAACACAACAAAATCAAAGATCCATTCATCCAATAACACTGGATGAGATACTGCCAGGTAACCCAGGCAGGGCGCAAGAGTTGATGCCGAGAATTTCCCACTGCAAGTGACTGACCAAAGGCATCATGTAGCGCTCAAACCTGGCAGGAAAACCAGTACCGGCTTCTAATATGCCTCGACCAGTCAGCGCTCAATTGAAATAAAATGAAGATGAACCACCAAGGAACCCAGTCACTGCCAAAGATGCCAATATTCGTCTGATCCGCAAATGATTATGATGCCGAAGCACCAGTGCTTCATACAAGCGATTGCGGCCATCTGGAGCTCTTCCAACTTCCCCAGTCTGAGGATCCACCAGCCTCACCAAAGATTCATCCTTATAGGAAACCTTGCAAGGTATTAGCATGATTTCTTCGCGACCACATGCCTGAGGCCCAGGAAGTCCAAAAAGAGCTGGTAAGATTGGATGTAATTTCCTTGGGCATCAACTCGGCTTTCAACACAGAAATGCATGCTGACTGACGCAAACGCACACACACAGGGTGTTGAGTCAAAATTCCGGAAATTTCCATATCGTTGCGGAAAGCACGAGCTCCCGCCTTGCTCAACATTGGCGCCTTCACATTGAATTGTGATTGAAAATAATTCGGGAAGAGCCATTGGATGTACCTTGGTGCAACCCTGCAGTAGTCTATCGCAGCAGGAATTTGCCTTCGGAAATATCATTGACCAGGACACGTATGATTAACCTCCAATTTTTCATACTGACCGTGCCAAGCATGAAGATCGCGCAAATATCCCAGCGAACACCGGTATTGATTGCGATAGAACTGGACCAGGACATCTTCCATGGCAATCCCAACACGGCATCGGCAACCTTTTGTGTGTTCTAATTCTTCATCATGGCTACCAATCGACAACACAAATCAATGCTAAAATCATCCAATCCATCATGGTCGCCTCTCTTCGCATATTGAGCCACAAGCCATGAAAATCCACGCGCAACATGTAAATGTCAAGTTGTGGAAAATCACTGAACGGCGTCATTTACACAATGTCATACTGTTGCAGTTTACTTGTTCTTCTGCGACTTGAGCGGCGTCAACCAAGGAAGGATTTTCAAATGTCTTTCCCAAAAACATCCCATCAAGATCACGGAATCCATCATTGGGCGTAGGGAATCAATCAATAACTGTATACTTGATATCGTCATCGTAGAACGTGTACGACTCTGTTTATTCATTGGGCTTCTCAGAAAAAACCACGAACATGATAAATCAACAGGGCATGGTTTTGCATGAGGAATGTTTGATTCAATCAGATCCACATTCGGACGAATGTGCCTTTTTCTTCAGAACCGCAAATGCGACAAATCTCTAAGAATGACTTCAACGTTGGGAGCGTGCATACGAAAACGAAAACACAACCTGAAACTCCAGCTCGCAATTGTCAGACGTTGGGCCTCACTGTATCAAGCTAAATTTGACCAAAGTTACAAAAAAATGTTGTTATACACCACCATTGAATGGCGTTGTCGTTGAAATTACGGATCACCTCAAAACGTGCTTCACGCTGACACCACCATGTTGAAAATAGCCAAAAACACGTAGTTCCATTGCACTCCGGAAAAGCTTGTGCCTATAGCGCGGCTTCCAATCTAACCCAATGGTGTAACTAGTGATAACGCCACTGGTCAGCATTGCAATAAAATCGCTTGCTGCTTCATCATTTCATGACGGCGGTTGTTAAAAATTTCAAAACAATAAAATCTACAATCTACAATTACACATGATTGCTATTTATCCCGCAACATCTGAGGAATTTTCTTGTGCGGAAGCTGTATGGGCAATTGCCAAGGAACTCAAGGTGGGGGGACGTATTGTGAAAAAATACATTTCTCCCAAACCTGCGCGCACTTGAGCATGCAACAAAAAATTATCGCGCGATCACGCATGTTTGGCTGCTTGACGATTCAAAATAAACATGCATTCAACGCCTTTTGTTTGTAATCAACATGGGAAGCTCACCTCACTCATTCTGCAGCAGCAAACTGCAAACTTATGTCTGCAAACGGGCCGGCCGAAACACATGCTCAGTCATTCTGTTTCATTACATACATCGTCAAACTCTTATTTCGTCGTTTTTTTGGCCAGCAAGCGTAACAAATCACGAAAGTATGTAAGATGCACGCATCACGTCAATGAGTCAAGGGGGACGTATGCCAAATCGGGAATTGGATGCATAGTGCCTTTGTGCTTGTAACGATGAATCGATTCCATCAAACATGCTGACAACATTCATCAAACATGATACCATATTTGAACTGGGCACACTCACAACGCATGGGTGGACGTGTCTGCTTTGTACAGCGAGTGGGCATGGAAGTTAGCCAAGCACAAGGTTGCACACAACCTCACAAATCAGGTGCACACGCCGTCAGCGTCAAGCCACACTCAGGGCGGACATGGACACCAAAAACCGATAGCTGCACTGCGCCACAACTGAGGCTATGTGGACATGTTTGGTTTTCCAAACAATGAGGTCTGTTGAGAAGTTCGCAAAAGGCACACATCAAGACATCACAGTTTGTAAAGACTGTGCAGACATCACACGTGTGCGGGGAGGTGACAACGCAGTGCCACCATAAAAAACCTTCATCATACGCATTTGTACAAGCCAATCTGAGTGGCAGTCATGTGGAAAACATTTTGGTCTTCAATCTACACGTTGAATACCTTGAATATTCTGTGTGGTTGCACTGCTCCTGTCCAAGACCTACCACAACAAGCAGCGGAGTACGCACCTCTCTTTTTCCTTGGGTTGCTCTGAGTGTAGCTAAGGAGGGCTTGAAGGCTGCAAGGCTTCAAGCCCAACTTGACCTTCTGTTTCGCCCCTCTGGTGGGAAGTAAGACGTAGAACCAGAACTAAGGTCTGGGCCAACTCCAGTTTGGGTTTTGTGTAGAGTGGGAAAGAACCAAGCTCCGCGGGCCTGGGCTGACCTAACTGGGCCAGGCTTGCGCGAGTAACAAGCTTAAAGGCTCGGGCCCAGGCCATGTGTGTTTTTGAACCTGCTTGGGTATCACCTGGATGCTCAATGCTGGCACTTGCGCCTGAGGACTTGAAATCCCCTCGCTGCGAATAATGAAGGTCTGCGCGTCACCGTACTTTGAGTTTGCAAGGGTCTCGCTTGTTATCACTTGTGATGTGCAACTTGCATCCTTTGTATATCTTTTATCAACACATGCTTTTGTATTTGAAGAAGTATTTTGCCAAAATGGCTCAAACCATCCGGCTCAACAATAAGCATGCCGTCCCCGCCTCGGGGATCATGTTTTATTGTTGAGTTGGTGTTGAATTTTTGCTTGGAGTGCAAAATTCGTTTGAGCTAATTTTGTTTTGCACCATGAAAAACAAAAGCTGTTCCCATAAAGTAGGCACTACCAACTTGCTGCCTATTTCGATCATGATTCACGCTTATGCTTGCAGTGAGTGGCTCTCAGCCAGAAAAATTTTGCCCGCCCACCCAACCCGTGTGGCAACAGCCTTTCTCCACAATGTCAGCATTGTGAACGCTAATGACGCAAACTTGAGATAATCTCTTGAATTCGCCGGGGTTAAGGTTCTAGTTATGGTTTTCCCGTGTGTGCACAGCGCCGTCTGTGCTAGGAGTAGGCCCTAACCCGCCAACTTGGTTCCCCTGGCCATGTGTGTTTTTGAACCTGCTTGGGTATCACCTGGATGCTCAATGCTGGCACTTGCGCCTGCGGACTTGAAATCCCCTCGCTGCGAAAATGAAGGCCTGCGCGTCACCGTACTTTGAGTTTGCAAGGGTCTCGCTTGTTATCACTTGCGATGTGCAACTTGCATCCTTTGTATATCTTTTATCAACACATGCTTTTGTATTTGAAGAAGTATTTTGCCAAAATGGCTCAAACCATCCGGCTCAACAATAAGATTGAAATACTACCAGCCAAGTAGCAGAAACTCATCAATTTTGTGCCGCCATAGCTACATGTCACGGCATGGCAGTGCTTCGAAGCCGCAACTCTTGGAATGTTACATTGAGCATGAAAATAAGTCTTAGCTAAACTATCTTATGATGACTCCCTCTAAATGTTTCTCTTTCGTGGCACTGAGACCTGGTCCTAGCACCGAGACATGGCCAGGAGCAGCAGAACTGTTGCCAACCCCAAATCCAAGAGCACGGGGGCAAAGCGTATCATCAAGACCCTTGATGGTACGCTTGGCCCCTGTGCTCTTGGATTTGAGTTTGGCAACAGCTCCGCTGCCCCTGGGCCCCCCTACACTGCCCCTAGACAACATGTCGGTGGCTCTGCTTGAAACGCCACAGCTGCACATAGATCATGTAAGTCATGCAGCCCGCATGCATGAAAGACTTGAGCACTTCATAAAACTCTTGCCACGCAAAAGGCATGTTTGTTTTTAGCTTTCTCCATGGCTCAAACCTAAACGTTTTGGGAAACACCCCAGCGTAGAAGGGCAGAAACACGAAGACTTTATCTATAACACTGATATATTTGCAAGGGAGTTCGCTTACTGCCGGTCGGCGGCCTGCCCGACACCTTGAGAGGATTCCCCGACACCTTGAGAGGACTCCCCGGCCCCTGGAGAGAACTCCCCAGCCCGCAAGAGGACTCCCCTGATCTGATGCTGTTGCCACTCGCGCACTTGCCACCGCAAGACACAGCTGCAATCAAGAGGCAAGACACAGCTGAACTGAATCTCATACTTTGCCAGCACAACACACAGCTGAACTCAGTCCAATAGTTAGTAGCTTTAGGGTTTAGGGTTTAGGGTAATAGTAATACTAATAATCACAGATCACAGGTGGCACTGCTGAACTCAATCTCGCACACCGGTTCTTGAACACTGCTTCAATCAAGTGCTTTCAGCTCATCACGTGTAATAAGCCACGGTACATCTACTATGCTACGATGTACATAGAAATTTATACAATAATTCATAATCATAATATCAACCTAATGATCAGAACAGATGTACTGCGGCTTATTGGAGTAATTTGACTCGCGCATTCTGGAAATTATCCCAACAGCATTCTTTTGAATTGGGTCGTATTCTCATGCTCATCACTGATCATTATTATAGGTGTATCTCTTGCCCAGGAGCGCTGGCCTGAGGCGGCCACTTCTCGCCAGCTGATTGTGGAGCACGAATGCTTTCAGCTCACAGATTATTAGTTACTATCACAATGATTATTACTTTTACCTTTCTTAATTATTAAGATTCTATACCAACAACAATTTCTTGCAATCTCTTTTATGATCTCCGGTGTGAAGCTGAGTTGCGCACAGAGCTGAGGCAATAGCATGCAGTTGGCCATTTGACCGTGACCCATCCCGAACTATTTTGGATGTCTTCTCTGTCTGTGTGAACTTGCAAAAAAG